TTTGCCAACGATTCGCCTGCAAAGTATTAGTACATTTGTGGCGGTTTGTTCCTTTTCTTTTATATGGGTGATTCATGTGAGTTTACTGTCCAGGTAACATCCTAGGTATTTAACACATTCCTTATGTCTGCTAATCTGGTTACCCAGATACAAATCTGCCAATTTCCATTTCCTGTTCCCCATGAAAACTATGACCTCTGATTTTTCAGCAGAAAAAGATGGGCTATTTGTGTTACCAAAGTGGGATACTTTATTCAAGATTTGCTGAGCTTGATTGTGTAGCGTTTCAATATTGAAACCCTGAAGTAACACAGTAAGGTCATCTGCGTAACATCAGTGAAGTAACACAGTAAGGTCATCTGCGTGACGGGCTGGGCTCCTTCCATAGAAGTACTAAGAGTGAGTTGAATACCAGGTTCCACAGGAACAGATAAAGAATACCACCCTGCAGACACCCTTTAGTAATATCTCTCTTTACTTCACAGTCAGTGAGACTAACATAGATATTCCTGTTTTTAATCATAAAGATCACCCATCTAGTTATCATAGGGTAAATATGACTTCCAATGAGGGCTTTATGTATTTCCTTGAAGCCGTTGTTATCAAAGGCTCCTACAATATCCAGTAGAATCCCAATGACAAACTGTCCGTATATAATCATTTTTATTCTCCACACCAGTTGGTGTAAGGCCGACTCATTGTAGAAGCCAGGTCTAAAACCGTATTGCTCTAAGTCAAAAATAGGGTTCAGATTATTATCTGACTGGAGATGCTAGAAAATCAATCGCTCCAACAGCTTAAGCTGGAAGGATGTTAGCGTAGATCATTCTAAATGAGTTTGGTTTCTCATATGTATCTTTTCCTTGTTTGGGGAGAAACACACCTCGTGAAGTTCTCCACACCTTAGGAACATATCCTAAAACTAAACTGGATTCGACTATGTCCACGAGAATGTGGCCAAAAATGTCCCAGCCTTTCTAAAGCAGAATTGGGTAAATGCCATCGTTCCCTGGAAATTTAAAGTGAAGAAATACATCTAGGGCCGCTTTAGCCTTTTGAAAGTTTACTATTGTTTTAGCAAAATCCAAATCTAATCGACTGTGAAGGAATTCTGATAGGTTTTACTGGGGGTCAGAGGTTGCACTTGTGCCTCCCAAGGTGAAAATTCAAGCATGGTCGAAAGTGTATCCAAGAGGGTTTATAGTATAACTGCCATCTGGTCGCATAACTGATGAGAGTTGAGATTCCTGAGACCTCTTAAGAATCTTATGTACTCTGGAGGTTTCATGGTAGGAATGACTATCTGAGCAGAAGGATCTCCACGAGTTGGATTTGGTTTTCCTGATTTTACTTTTAAATTTCCTTTGTAGGATTTTACAGTTAGACCAGCTAACTTCAGATTTATTTCTGACTGCTTTCCTGTGAGCCCTCTGAACCTCTAGGTGGAGGCTTTCAAGTTCATTGGTCCACAAGACTCTCTTGCTAGAAGAGTACATCTTTTGTTTGAGAGGGCATGATGCATGATAGGATTCAATAATGATATTTGTCAAGTGGTTTGCTTGGATATCAAGCTTTATGACTGAACAATTATTGTCTTACAGCCTGAAGGTTAATGACATATAACCAGGAAGCAGGAAGTCCTTATAAAGGTCCCAATTTGTGTTTTTAATGTTTCTGAAAATTTAGCTGGAATTTCATCTAATATGAAATTGTATAAGGTGATGGTCTGAAAGTGAGGGATTGTCACTTAAATGCCAGTTCTCAATAAGATTATAGATATCAGTTGAAGTTAAGTGTGAGGTCAATGACCTCTTCTTTTCTTTTGACAAATGTGGGGTGATTTTCCCTGTTTACCCAAGTTAGGTTGGTGTTCATTATAAGTTACATGAGTTTTTCTCACTCTAGGATTGGTATCAGAACTGCCTCATGATAGGTGGTGAGCGTTAACATCACCACCAATAATCATAGGAATATTGTTGATTTCACAGAAACTTACAAGATCTATAAATTCTTGTGGAGTGTTGAGGTCATAAGCTATTTAAACCAAGCAGAAATAAATGTTTCCTCTTAGTGAACTGTTTATGTCCTTGGTTATAATAGCAATCACATCCTCTGATGTGCATTGAGATAATTTCACAGAGTTTATATTTTTAAAAATGTAAATGCTAGTTCTAGATCTTTTATTAGGTCCTTCTGACGAAAAGAAGTGTGCGTTCATGGGCCCACCAAAGATTTTACCCTCATAGAAGCAAGGTTCTTGAATTAAGGGAACAAAAGTGCCTTGTTTACCTAATTGAGCAGCTAAATTTTATGAAGCTGCTCTGCTATGTTGCAGGTTTAGTTGACTAACCTTAACCATTAAGACTGGTTAAATGAGAGTTAAGAACTAACCCTGAAGGATTTTAGGAGAGACTTAGTTAAAAGCCGCCTCCTTAGCCCACGACTTCCCTTGAAGTCATGACAGGGAAGACCTAATCAGATGTCTTCCCCTGAGCCTCCAAAGAAGGCTCTGGTTCTGACTCCTTTCTGGTCTTCCCTTCTTCCATCAGCTGTTTCCTTGGAGGATCCTTGGGTGGAGGAATTGACTTTCCCTGTTGCCTCAGCTCCCTCAGCTGTACAGAGCCCCAGGTGCCACAGAAAAGCTTGAAGTTCTGGGCCTCCAGGTAATCCACGAGCTCAAGATTTACTCCCAAGTGTGTTACCTCCGTCTCCAGGGATGACTGTCTTGATAGTGATATTCTGAACATTCAGGCTCTTGTTGCAGGCTTCAAGGAGCTTGACGTTATCTTTTGGTGACCTGTTACCAGGAAACCAAGCGAAAAACCTCTTCAGGAAGGTCTGTCCCCTGGGGGCCATGGCGTGATAGCCGGGGGGAGGTTTCTTCAGGGCCAGGTAGATCATTGATTAGGGTCTTTATCACATCCACAGTCTCCTGGTCCTCACACATAATGTTGAGTCCATTCGGCTGCTGGACTGTTTTATGAACCCTACAGGTGGTGATAAAGCCGTCGATAATTCGGTCATCAGTCACAGAAGTGATAAAGTCCATATCTGCCGACGTTATGTCTCTGGAGTCATCCTTGCAGATGATCTGCAGAGTTATTGCCTTCCTCACAGCTTGACTATAAAGCTATCGTTTCTTGAGGGCCATTTCCAGGGTGTCACCAGCAAAACCTCCTCTCTTACGAGAATCTTCATTGCTTGGATGACTCTCTTTCCCCAGTTTGGAGGTCACTCCAGAGGTCCCAGCTTTAGCTGTTTTCTCTGTCGCTCCCTTCTCCCTGGTGATTGAGATCCCTTCCACGGCCCTCTCTAGCCGTTTCCACTTCTTCTGGCATTGTCTCTTTTCTCTTCTTTTATTTACAACCTCCGTCATTGGTGACTGGTTATCCGCTTGTACATCTGACGCAGCTGGAGTCAGAATCCATCCCTACTGAGTTCAAGGCGTCCGTGCCTGAAGACACATTCACCCTTCCGCCAGCGGTTCTGGTTTCTGTAGTCCTAAAGAGAAGAGTGTCCGCACCCAAAGGTACATTCACTCCATCAGAAGGAGCTACACTGGTTAAAGTGGGGGGTTTTAGAGGATGTGTTTTTGTCTGATTCTGTTTTTTTTTTATATCCATCTTGGTAATTGATTAAAGAAAGGGGGAGAAAAATTCCTTCCGATTTTCTAAGATCCAGTTGGGTGGGGCTAGCCTCATATTCAGTAGCCAGTAGTGACCTCGGAAGACCCCCCGCTCTGCCATACAGAACCCCGCCCAGGTACCACCTGGAACTATGAGGCAGGCGATATTATACACCAGCTGATAGAGCAGCCAGGACATGCTGGTTAGGCTGCCCCAGGTTTCTATACTATCTGGCGGCCTGAGACGCAAAACTCAGTTTTTCTTCTGTATCCTTTACATGGCTTCTTCCTCGAAGACCCCTCCTCTCCAGATGAAAGGTCCTCGGAATTTCACATCCTCTCCCCGAGTGCCAGTTTTTCCAGGGAGGAGTGGTTCGTTGGGTCGTCATAAGATTATTCATCATCAGACCAAACTTCATCCCACTAAACCTCAGTATGCCACAGGACTTTGTGGCAGTTACCCATTAGCACCACCCAGGGGACACGTGTGACGGATTATCATGGATGGATGGGGGCAGCATTACCCCCGAATGTTTACATTCTCTGCATTTCCCCTTTCACAGTAACAATATATATAAGAAAAATAAAAAATTTATAAAAGATTAAATTAGCAACGTTAATTTCCCTTCTTAATTCTAAAAATAGTAACCCCTCTCTGCACTGTGTCATTTCAAGACTGTTCTGTGTCATATGATTCTTACGTAATTATGATAATGCAAATGGAACTTAAACTCAACCAGCCAATAGTAATTTTAGAGCAATATTAACTATCCAATCAAAATGCTTTGAAAACCAAAACTAACTCAGTCTGACTTGAGATTTCGTCCTGAACATCACACACTTACTTTCCACGCTTTGGCCTAGCTAGACTGCAGTCTGTCTGCTTCTTCTTTTTGCTACAAAGTTTTCAAAAATGTAAGCCTTTTGGAACAGGCAAATTTAAAGTGCCAACATGTGTGTAACCGCAACATGTTTCTGAAATTAAAACTGAAGATTTAATGAACATTCCTCCTCCAATTTCCTGATCATTGCTCCTGAATATATTACACACACACACACACACACACATGTATATATATATAGCTTAAATTTTATCTCCTTCGGTACTTTCCTATAACAAGTCTTCCATGAGGCATTCTTCCTCCTTAGTAAAATGATTTCCATAGGCTTTGACACAATGTAAATAATCCAGTTCTCTCAATGTTTTCCAGCAGCATATTTAGTACTGAATTTAAAAATTGTTCAAGATAAAATCATTTTAAATGATGAATGTTTGTATTTGACTGAAAATATTTTGAAATATATTTTCTAAATAATTTCTGGAAAAGAATTTTAATTTTGTTATTGTGTATTAATTATTATTATTATTTTTAAGTCTCAAAAAGCAAATGGAACAACAGACATCTTGTAGATTGCATCAAATGCTTGGAGATTTTCTAGCTCGAACAAATGAGCATGAGAAAGCTTTGCATCACTTTAGCATAGCTTTGAAGTAAGTGTGATTTAGTTTCATTTATTAAAAATAGTATCACAGAAATAGTATACGTAACCTTTAACTGCTGTGAGTGGTCTCTCAGACCGCATGACATTTTCCATTAAATGCTTCCACCCCTTAGAATAATTAATGGGTATTGCCATTCTTAGCACATTCCTAAACCAGTTGTCCGAGGTCATATACCTGCATTTGGCTAGCTCTATTTCTTCTTTTATTTTTAAAAAAATGTTCCCCCCTCAGCAGTCTGTGGGACTGATTACAGCAGATACGATTCAAATTTCGGCCAATAAAGTTCATTTTTCGTTGTTACATATTTCGTTTTTTTATAAATATTCTTGAAATGGCTTCAAATGCGTGCAGGAAACATTCTATATACCTTACCCAAGACCAAATTGAATAAATAGTTCGAAATTGGTCTAATTTAGAAGTTCTTTGATGAAAGTTCCCATGATGAAATTATTGAGAGCAAACCACGACACAAATTCAGAAATATCTGCCAATGAAAATCCATGTTTTCCTTCTACAAGAGATTTTTTTATTGGAAAAAAAGAATTCAAATGGTCTATTCAATAGCCCAACAAGGGTGTTCGAACTCCTAGTCACAGTCGAAGTTGGCCTATGACAATATTCTTCAGAAACTTGGATATTTGTGCAATAAATGCATTTGTATTATTTCAATCTTATCCCATTATCTCCGAAAATGAAACGATAAGATTTCATTAGCAATTCAGTTGGTGCAGTCTCATGTAAAACAGAGGATAACTTAATTACTTTACCTAAAGAACTCAAACTTACTATAAGAAGAGTTTTTGGAATAAATGATGATGAAGGAAACATTGCGATCAAAGACAACAAATTAGATAAAAAAAAAAAAAATGTGCTAATATTTGTCCATCGAGCAAAAAAAAAAAAAAGAAAACAGCTTACAAATGTAAAGAATCCAAAGAAGCAGTATGTCTCTACAATGCAGTTAGAAAAATATGTATAAAATGCAGCTCGAATTATAATTTTTTAAAATAAAAATTAATTTTCTATATTCTTATTAAAGCATTCTTATCGCAAATTTTAACGTAAAATAAAAAAGTTTAATTTTAAAATTTACTTCTTCCATCCAGATATGTAAGCGAAAGAATTATTATCATAGTATATATTTTATTTTAATGAACTGATTTAAGTATAAAAAATGCTTTATATCTTAATGAAAAATGTTAAATATATGAAATTAAACAACATTTATTCAAATAAGAAAAATAAAACAATATAAGATATTGTTTTTAGCAGAAGCGGTCTGAGTGACCGCTCACAATATTTATGCAACAATTTAAGTCACAGTAGCTAAAGGTTAAGCATGGGTTAAAAAACATAAATTTATTTTTTATATGTTAAAAAATTTATTTTGGCACAATAGTTTGAAATTTAATAGCTTTTAAATCGAAATTTAGGTTCTCAAAATTATGATCCAGTTATAGAAATTAAAAATATCATTTCATTTGAAAGAATAAATGCGAGTGTGATAGCATTGGTAGATGGTTACCTAAACATTAGGTACCACTTACGTTGACTGTCTGTGTGTAATAATTTGGATTGAAAATAATATGGTAAGATCTTGAGAAATTTTAATGTTATACTTGAATGAATTTGTTTATGTTTCTATATATTTTCTTTATTAATAATCTTAATTCATGTAACAGTTTGTTTAATATTTGTTTTTGCATAAAGCTATTGCATGATAACACCATATTAAATTGCATGCTAATATTGTCTGTTAATTTAAATACTTCTGAGAGAAATTATATAAAAAAAAATTTTATTGCAGTAAACGTCATAATAGTTTCAAGATACCTGTTTTTGTTAACATGATTTCTTTTATATCCTAAGTATGGACCCATCTAATCATAAAGCTGCTGAAGGAAGTCAGAGGGTAGAACAGAATCCAGAATCTTCAGAAAGTTTTGAAGTAGATGATATTGCAGATTCTGAAAATGAAGTAAGTTAACAATGGTTTCTTTTGAAAGGAATAAAAAGGGGAATTGTTTTGTATATTTTATTTATTTATTTTTACACACACACACACACCCAGGAAAAGAAAAAAAAAAAAAAACTTCGGTAGAGAGTTTATTGATTTTTTTGTAGAATTTTCAAAACATTTTTTTAAACATACTGAGCTTTTCTACAAAATAGATCTTGAAAAAAATTAAATTGTCTATGAAAAGGTTAAAGATATTTTTATATTAAAGTCCAGATAGTTTTCTTAAACATGTCTTCTATTTTATGGTAATTTGCACATGCATAAGTTTTCACTTCTTTTGAATACTAGACTGTAGCAAAACATTTATTTTTAAATCAAGGCATAGTGGATTAACTCATAATCTAGGTAGCCAGACAGCCTATTGTGGGCCAGTGCCTTTCTTTGAAGATTTCTCTATGATGACTCTTTGATTATCCAGATCCTGTCATTAACTGTTAGAAAATCTAACTCCACCGAATCAGCCCATCTCACTGGTGGTCTTCCATGCTTTTGGGTTCCAGTGTGTTTAGAAAGCAGTACTTTTTTTTTGTAACATTGTCATTTTTACATTCAGATCATTTAAGCCATCACATTCGTTCTGTTTTTTATATATTTAAGACACTAAGTTGTCTGTGTATATTATTTTCATGTATACTACAAAGAATACACTGAAGGCATTTTCTTTCCAAAGTTCAATAATTTATCATTGTCCTAGTCTCAGAAGCATATGTCAAAATAGCTCTGCATTTTGTAAATCAAAAAAAAATTTTTTTTTTTTTTTTTTTGAAAGAAATCCAGATCTGAAAAACCTTATTATTTACCAGATATCTCTGCCTGACTTCAGGAAATAATCTATTATCAGTAGTAATAGTAGATTCCAAATAGACAAAACTCTGTACAGGTTCAAATTTATAGGAGTCTGTTTCAAGATAGGGATCTGGGATCTTTAGCATGTTTGTCAGCAACTGTGCCGATCTCGGTAATTGCAGTAGTACAGATACTACCCGTAATTAAATTTCCATTTGTTTCCCACAGTACCATACAATTCATCAGATTCAACTTTTCTACTTTTTTTATTTATGTCTAAACTGATCATTCTTAAGCTTATTACAGTCAAATTCTCTGCACTCTAAAATACTTTCATTAGAGATTCTTGATCTGATTTTGGCTGTTTTCAAAAAGTGACTACATTCCATATTAGCTCCATGATAAACTCTCACATTCATCAAGTCTGAATAATGCCTAGTATCAAGTTGATTAGCATAAGTGCTACATGGGGCATACCAAGTTTCCTTATAAATATTTTTATGTGGGAAAGATGTGCTTTCTATAATCATTATATATGAAGTGGTAGCAAAATCTATTAAATAATGTTTGTTAACATGACATCTAGACTAAATCTTCCTGTTATAAATTTTAAGTTCCTTTTCTCTACCCACTTTAGCATCCAGATCCCCCATAATAGCCTTTACTTCATATCAAAAGCAATTATAGTATATTTTGTCTAAATTATCTTGGAAAGTTTCCTTTTCTTTATCAGGCTTATCATTGGTAGTGGCTTGATATGATTGATCATTGGTAGCGGCAAAAATATATGATGCTAAAATTTTCCTGAAGTTCTAATTTATGTAATCTCAAGGTGACTGCTTAAAATTCAAAACCTGACGTCATATTCTTTTGCTGACAATAAAACCTGTGCCCTTGATATGTTTCTTAGGATAACAGCTGTAAAAAATAGTATGATTCCTTGTGTTCAAAATTTTGTTGCAAATCCATCTAATTTCTTGAATGGCAATAATATCAATTTTATACATGTCCAACTCTGCTGACAACAATGCAAAGCCTTGGTTCCTTAAAGAGTCAGAAAATTCCAACTACTAGTTTTCATATCCTTGTTTCATTTACGAAATTGATTCCATAAATTGATTGGATTTTTTTTTTCATTGAATTTCGTAACAATAAATATTTTACTAGGTAGGGGTGTTGATGCTATGTCCAACTCTACTTGGAGGACTGGGCCCGTTATTTATAAACCCCAGGAATCCAGGTGCCCAATTATATCCCCTAAAGACAGGGTATTCATTTTAGTTGCCTCTTATTGGCATGCATGGACTACATTGTGACTATTCTTTCACGCCTGGTCACTATACAGGTGACATTTTAAACTATTCATTTGTTATATGTGAATTTTTTAATATTTTTTAGCTCAGAAAGGCAGTTAATTCTGAAACACGATTTTGCATTGTTTCACTTAGCATTCAAGTTTGTTGCCTTTTGGAAAAACTTAAGATCATAAGTTTTTCCAAATTTCCTTTCTTTCAGATTTAATCTGTCTGGTATTAATTAACAAACTAAACTGTTTTAAAATAAGTAGATGCGGTTCTTGAGAATTTTTTTAAAATTTATTTTCTAATCTGATTGATTTAAATAAAAAGGCATTTAATTCACAATATATCTAATTTTAAAAAATAAATATTTTTATGGAATTGCATTACATATTTTTTTCTCTTTTTAAATATTTAATGCCTGGATGATGATAAAATGGCAAGATATGTAGTCTAAGTGCTTATTCATTTTCTTCTTTAATGGCTTGACAGCTTTGGGTGAACCCTAGCCTTCTCCAGGCTTCCCTACTTTTGGCAACCCTTAAAATATTAAGATCTTTTTCAACACAATCAATCCATCTTAGTGGGGTTCTGCCCTGAGGTCTATTTCACATGGGCTTTTCCAGAATTTTCTTGCAGCAGCGATCCTCATTAATTCTAGCCAGATGGCCTGCCCCTTTAAGTCTCTATAATGTGACAAATTTTAAAATGTCAGGTTGTATGTTAGTTTTATAGAGTTCTAAATTAGATCTTCTCTATGATCCACTCATTTGGACCCCACCAAGAATGCAACATAAGGTCTTTCGCTCAAAAATTCTTGGAGCTTCCTCATCACATAAAGCCAATGCCCAAGTCTCTGATGCATGAGTTAAGACAAATCTTATAACACTTTTGTAAAGCATATTCATCCTAATATCCTATAAAATGTTCTGTTATTCCACATGGTCCATGTCTACCGTATTAAACTTTAAAAGAGCCCTTAAATGATCATTAAAATCTGAACACTTTTAGTTTTTTTTTTTTTTTTTTTTTAAATATTCATAAATAATTGCTGTATTTTTCTTTTGTTTGTTGTTATTAATTTTTTTAATTTCATTATTATGAGCAGAAATTTTCCATTTTTGGAGGGGGGTCAATGTATGTCTAAGCTGTTATTCAAAAATTTATAAAATTATTAATAAGATAATATAGAAGGTAGTATTATTCTGTGTATTTAAATTCATTAGAACAGTATATCAGGAATACTTGTTTTGCCAAAATATATATATATATATATATGTCTATTATGAAAATGTTAATAAAGGATTAAGGATTAATTCTTTATTATTATTTCTTGAAGTGGTAATTTGCCTTAAGAAACATTTTTTTCTGAATCATTACCATGCAAAATTAAAATGTGACTCAAAGTTGAATGTGATAGTTTCTGTATTCAAAGCAGTACTACAGAAAGTCACTGTTTTGTTAATTGATTGGTGATTGAAGTATTATCATCTCAGAGTAAGACTGCAGTTCCATCATCTTCATTTAGCATTGCTTCTCATATTCCATTAACTAGAAGATTTTGCTTTTCGTGGCACATCTAAAAACTAACAGGCTTGCATCTCACATTATTAATCATAAATAAATGAAATTGGTTGCTGCCTATAAATTTTGCCGAGCATTTTAAAAAATATCATCTGACATTCTTCTCCTGTAATGCCCCACACATCAAAGTTTATATTAAAACATTTTTAGGATGCTTCCCTGATCTTACTTCAGTATCAATTTCTAAAGAGCTATTTTATATCAGTACTTGAGTGCACAAAAAATTCTGATATCATTGGTCAATTATAGGCAGTTTTAAGTATGAAATAAAACAGAAGTGTTATCATTTACTAAAAATGTAATTTTGATAAGATTATAACAGTAGACAGAACAAAATAATAAACTTCTTCATATCAAACTGTTAAGGGAAGAGCACAATTTATTATAGTATTAACTGAAATTAGGCTCCTAGGAATTTAATTCTTTCTCCCTTCTTCACTGCTATGGCAACAAAAGAAAACCGATATGAATGACATCCTGTTGCAGATTATTATGTCTTGGGACTTTATTTAGGTCAGACAGAAAAATGCTATGCAACTGCCCCCCTAACTTCTCAAGGGCTGAAAGTGCAGTCATGGCTAACATCAGTCACTGCATTATCATTGGCCATGGTGTGATTCTGTAGACAGGAGGTGTTTGTAAGTGACATAGAGGAACATTAATTACTCGAGAGGCAAATTACATGCATGGCAAATCTACTTTTTTTTCAAGTATTATATTCTCTAGTCCTAGACATTGGAAGGGAAAAAAATTCTTTTAAAAAAGAAATTATTTAAAATTTCTCCGAATCACCATAGATGGTTCCGAATTAGATAATTCTGAAATTTGGACTCTGTACTGTATTTCATTTCTTTGCTATATATGTGTGATTGTAATATATTTGTGACCATTTTTATATAATTTTCTTTTTTAGGGAGATCTTGAAGAAAGTGAAGTAGAAGCTGTTTGGTCTGATGTTGAATACGCTTAATTTCTAGTTTATGATATTTGTAAATATTGCATAAATGAAAGAAAAAACATATTTCTGTCTGTGTCTGTTCAGTGCAGTAACACTTTTATTTGCATAAAATCTGAAAATAAATTTTGAAATTTAATTTATTGCATATTAAATGTGGATTAATTTCTAAAAAGCCTGGAATACTATTAGGTTTTGGATACCTCTTAGAAGGAGAATTATTCATGAGGTTACATCTGGTTGCATTCCATGTAGGGGACATTCGTCTGAAGCCATAGCTACACAAACAGTTCCCCTTTCAACTGAAAGATAATTACCGAACAGCCCTTTTCAAGTACCAGGTGCAAATCTAGCCAGTCCTATTTTGTTTCAGAGAGGGACGAAGGTCTGATCATCCTATGCACATGTGCTGTATATCGTGCAGTTCCTTTAGAATTAATAACTGCATTGACCACAGAAGCTTTTGTTCTGCCTTTACAAAGATTCATGGCTAGAAGAAGTAGAGTTTCAGTCATCTACGCTGATAACGGAACAAACTTCGTAGGCACATCAAGACACTTAAAACAATAGATTGGAATGTCATTCAATAAAAGAGTGAACTAAAGAAGATAAAAGGAAATTTTAACCTACCAAGAGCACTGCGGTACGTTGGATGGTGGGAGCGTATGATACGCAGTATAAAAGATTATTGAAAACAGTTCTTTGTAGAGCTAGTCTAAATTATGAAGAAATTTCAATGGTTTTATGCGATTGTAAGAATACAATCGCTAAGAGACCATTACATCATTTGTTGGAGGAACCAGAGGAACCATTACCACACATTTCCTATGTGAAACCCCAATTCTATTGATTGTGATGCATTTGATTTGATAATATAGATGGAAGTGCCTTGAAGAAAAGGATATGATACTTGCAAAGTGTTCGAGATTGTTTTCGAAAGAGATTCCAAAAAGAATATCTATCTGAGCTTGTAAGATCCGACTTTTAAGACATGAGGTAATATTTCAAAAGGAGGTGTGCTTGTAGAATATGATAGTTCAAAAAGAATTAACAGGCTTTTAGCTAGAGTGTTGGAACTATTTACAGAAGGCGATGAGAAAAAATGAGTAGCTCAATTGAACTGGCAAATGTAGAAATTATCTGTCCTCTTCAATGATTATTTTCCTCGTAGATTGCATTGTCAGATTCAACGCTTCAGAATAAAGTTGGAAGCTCAGGACCCAGATTGCACTTTCAAAGGAAAGGTATGGTTTGGTTTGGTTTATTTGGTTATGGCAATGTCTCAAGGGCCTGTCTGCGTAAGGGAAGTTATGCCTTTGTGGAGAACTTTCTAAGGGAAACTGGCTTATAAACACATTACACACGAGGAAAATCATGAAAACGCCCATGCAGCCCTCCCTTTTGTGGGATTTGAATCTCGGACCAAACTCCCAATGTTCAGTGACTTACCACTTGGCTGCTGGTGGGCCTCAAAGGAAAGGAGGGGATTCGTTACTCAGACATTATGATTGAAGACCGCATCCTTCAGACTTGATATTACACAGTTATAAAATTACTTTAAGTCCTAAAATAATAAGTATTTGAAATGGATGACAGGTAAAAGCAACCCAAAAGTCTGAATTTATAAGTATCTACCTTTATAAACATTGACTAAAATGTCTGTGTTAGATTACAATTTTTACAGAGGATGTTGCATATCGATTGTTATCGGTTTTAGAATCGGGTTTTTATTTTGTTTGTATTCATAATAACCAGACATGTTTTAATATAGACAAAATGTTTAGTGAGTAACTTGTGATAATGTCTAAGCACTGTAAGTTAGTAAACGTGTCTTAGTATGAAATAAAATATTTAGTTTACGACTATAAGAATCTTCTATGTTAATTATCTTGAGGACTTACAACACCAGGGATTTCATTTTCTTATTTTGGAACATGATATTTCCATGGCCTTGTGGACTTGTAAGCTCTCTTGCCAAAGTGTTGGTGGAAATGACAATTATTTGTGCCACTGTTATTTTTGTAAGGATTCTTGAATTCTAATCTGTATCTTCGTTTTGGTGGACTGGAATCTCTATGTGTACTCATTCTTGCAGTTCTAAATTTGATATCTGTTTCTGTAAATTTTGAGTGACATAGTTATCAGATGGTGGAGAACAATGTGAGCTGCCTGAGGTGAACTAGGATTTGATTACCATATCATATGAGTGATTGTTGATAGGTTGGACAAATCATCGCTGCTTATAGATAAAACTTAATTTGCTCTGCATATTAAGTGGCAGTAGTTGCATCCATAAGACTGCACTTTACTTGCTTCTTAAATTGTTCAAAGTCCGTATATTAAGTGGTAGTCATTGCATCCATAAGGTTTTTAAAACTTCATCCTGCACCTGCTCCATCGGCAAATTGCGTATTGCGCAGAGAAGTTGAGATGGTTTCCTATCATCCAATTCAGTCAGAAGTTTCTGAGTTTTCTGTAATTCATAATTGGCAAAAATTTCAGTATGCCTCTTTTTAAGGTTTTTTTTTTAAACAAACTCTAATGTTTTATTTTTGTTCGAAACTCTATTGTTGCCACTTCAGCAAAAGGAAAATCGAGCAAAGAGTTTGACAGGTAAATTCAGTATTGCAAAATGATGTTGCCCGCATTGATATTAACTCTTGTTGAATGCATGGAGAGAACTAATTTTTTGGGATTGCTCATTGTTGATGTTAACTCGTCAAGCACTCAAAAAGAACTAAAAGTTTTTGACTGCTCAATGATTTCTCCCAGACTGTTTTTGATTATTCTCATTTACATAAATATTACTTGTAAACAGTGATGATCTGATTGCATCTATTTAATGTTTTAGTAGTTTGAGATATAACTACTGATTATACTACATGATATTCTAAACACTTGTAGGAATATCTCTAAGGTAAATTCAAGAGTTCTGATATATTTCTCTTGATAAGAATAAATTTTATCAACCTATTATTGGACTTACGCATTCAGTCTATTACCAACCCCTACACACATAACAATGTAGATGGGTATTTACATCTGATGTTTAGTCAACAAAATATTTGTGATGCAAGTTCTAAAATGAACAGAATTTAAAGCAGTTAAGCTTTACTGGTGTTCAGCAGTCTTATCCTCTTTCTCACTAATGGGTGTTTTCGCTTTATGTGCTTTCATTTCATTTTTATTATATTTTATGTGTTATATAAGGGAAAAGGCAGTGAAATGGGAAAATTTCAGATGAGATGTATCCTGATCAAGGAGAAGAAAGATATTTTATGTCCAGAACAAGAAAAAAAATTTTTTCAGACAATAAGCTTATTATTTCGAAGAACTGTATCAAATTTAGTATTAAAGACTGGGTTAGTTTAAATTCTGCACTAGAGCTATTGATGAAAGCATTGATTTAAATGACATTGTTTAACTAGTAGTGCTGATAAGAGATCTTGATGAGAAATTTGAAATTACCAAAGAACTGGCATGCATGCGGTCATTAAAGGGAACTATAATGAGATTTGACATTTGTTCCCAAATGTTTGGAAGGGCTTTGAATTTTGAAAGTATTTAGAACAAACATGTGCAGTATTATGACTGCTGGGAGCTCATAGAATGACAGGAGAAAACCAAAGACACGAGATCTTTTTTCTCATATTGTAGAGTCATTAGGTTATTTTAAAGCAGGAGACATGAAAAGTGTGCAGTGCCTTTGCCCAGGACTCGAACCTGGATCTCTTGAATACGCTCCGAATGTGCTACTATTACACCATGAAGGCAAGCTGGAAGCAGAGAGAAAATCACTTCTGCATTCCCCTTTTTAAAGGGCGACTGGGAGGGGGACCCAATCACCAAATCCTGGTGGTGACGAATTATTCCACCTTTTAGTTAGGACACCATTGTAAACTCATTAGGTTATTTTGAAGCAGGATGCGGGGAAAATGTGCAGTGCCTTCCACGGGAGTCGAGCCTGGAGCTCTTGAATATGCACCGAGTGTGCTACCATTACACCACAAATTCATACTGGAAGGAGGGAGAAAATACTTTATAATATGAACAATTAAATGTAAAGATACAAGGGAAAAAAACTGCTTATCGTCGATATCTAGTCACATCTCAAAGGTTTTGAATGGGATCTATTTCTGGGGCAGCTAGCTAAGAACGATTTATCTAGTTTCCTGAGGTAAAATTCAATACCCTCAGTAAATAAAGACAAGTTTAAGAGTATTGAAGATGGCCTGAGAAAACTGCATTTTTGAGTTTGAAAGCAAATTTTAAAATTTCAGTGGCATTCAACCAGAACTGTATATTTTCACCATGCCTTTCAAAGTAAATTGTGAAGCAGCGAGACCAGATTTGCAGCTTGAATAATTCGAGTTATTATCTAATAATCATCTCAAGCAGTTGTTTCTCAGTGTTCCAAAATGAAAGTTTAGCAAATCGTTATTGAACATTTGCCAAAGTTAATATCTCACGCCCAGAAAATTTGTGCTATGTTTGCTTCATCTTGTACATGTGAATACATGTTTTCTACCATGAACCTTGGAAAGAATGCTATTAGAAATAGAGTGACAGTTGAGAACTTGGCGTTTCTTCTCAGAATTAGTACATTTCAGTTCCATCATGAATTTATGCTGCTAAAAACTGATCAATTGGATTCATTGATCAAAAATGTTAATCGTCAGTTTCTTACTAAGCATATAGTTCCAGATTTTAATTGAAGAATATTGTTATCCACCCAAATCGATGTTTTTTTATCATCTTAATTTTATTTGATTCTTTTCCTAACTAAACTGCACTTACAGAAGCTCGTTTGCACTTTTTTTTTTTTGAAAGAGATTTTGATAATTAATATTTATGCATAAGGGGCGTATTTTTTTGCGGCTATTTGGCGACCTGTTAGCCTTGATTATTGGGTATAACTCTGCCTTGAACTTCCTTGAAAGTAAACTTTTTCTTAGCACTGTCATGGGTCATTTTCCAAAGTCTGTCCGGTGTTCTTGGATACCATTTTCTTAAAGCTTGTTTAAACAAAATGAAAGAGAAAATGTCTTTATCGACTTTTGCTCTTTTAGTCTCTGGATCTTTTGGACTGAGCAAATGTCCTTATGGAGAAGAATCAGGTGATTTTAGAAGTATTTCTTTAAATGGAATGC